TTCTTGAGCCATGTTCAAACGTGGCTCAAGAAAGATGTATGAAAATAAACCTCGTGGTTGCAGGCCTGCCGCAGCTTAGTCATATGGTGGGCAGGAAGAAATCGGGGGCCCTTTGACTTATCTACAGTGTACAACTTCTACTATATAACCTTCAACAACAAACATTCCAATAAGTGAGGGGATCTTCGAGTCTCTATGCCTCAAGACGTTACGGTCAGTCAAAGCAGCATCTCTAAGACATCACAGCGAACAGAGCACGAAACTCTGAGTATCTCACGTCAAGCGCACCTCCTGGCTCGACGCGCACAGCACCTCAGAGTTGCACCGATCGAACACGCGTCGCCTGCAACTAGATACTGCCATGTATCATGTAGTCCAAGCATGCAGCGGATTGCTTTTTCGGACAGCGTACCAGCCTCACCTCTTTGTGTTTGGGATACGTGGCCGGCGAGATCCGGCGAAATTGAAACTGCTCAGAACAGCCAGCAGTCTGACAATACACTGCGCCTCTTCAGAGATATCTCACATCACACAATGTGTCAGGATTGTCTGTCTGTTCCTGGTAGAGACACTGATGGAATTTGGGTCTCCGTGAAATGAACAGCTGCCAGTCTGTCTTTGGAGCTCCCCCGCTCAGCAGACGGAAACCGCGTCTCACTACACAGCTGAACGGCACGCTGATGAGCGAACAGCGTTCAGGATTTCATGTGATGCCATGCACTTGCTGAAAGAACTTTACCTGCGTGGCTCATTATGGATCACTGACGAAAGCCTATGAAAATTGAGATGTGCAAACCGGCAACAACGTTTTTGGGTAGTCATAGTCGTGCCAGTCAGAACCTATAACAGCAAGCAAGAATCCGAAACCAAGAACTGCAATGGTAGTTCAACAGCAAGAAGAGAACTGCAATGGTCGCTCAAACAGTCTCACAGCACGGCCACCAGGAGTCGTATTTTGAACTCTCGAAACCTGGAATGGCAACAACACTTTGCCTAGGACTTAGTGAAAAGAACTGCGAAAGTTGAACATGTCACGAGACATAGCACACCGCTGTAATGGTAATTGTCATGGCAACAAAAGGTACTGCTAGTACTTCACAGGTAGCTGCAGGTGAGGATAATACTGTCGGTCACGACATGGGGTGCAATGACCTTATAAAGGAAAAGCCCGAAAACTTGGTAGAACACTAGTGCGGAGAAGTATCGTCAACGTTTATTCCCCGCATTGAACCTATATGCAACCATGGCCAGCAGCTTCACCGAACCTGTCCCCAAGGTACACAACTGCCCACTGCAACCTACAGTGATTGTTGCTACCACGGTCGTTCAACTTGAAATACTTCTCGATTCCCCTCGGGTCAAGAGACACAAGGCTCCGCATCTCCCGCGGGGTCCGTGGCAGTTTAAGTTGGGCGCGTCGTTGAAATCGGATGTGCTGCTGCTATGTGCTATTGAAACTAGCACCGCATGCTCCCCGCAGAATCCACATCGAAGAAGAGCTCCGCCATAGCCTGGATCCGTCTCCGTGTATCCCCCAAACTTTTTTGTGCATGCTGGAACACCATGGAAGAAGCTGCTCACAAACAAACTTGCCAAACAGGACATGCCCTCAAAAAACCATCTTCCTCAATGTCAACCGTGCCAACCTATACCCTTTAGTGGCAGTGGCGCGAGACTTTGTCAGCCAGCATCAATGTAGCAGGAATTGTAATCATGCGCGTGGTGGCAGTGATATGTCTGTATGCTATGCTGGTAACAGCTACAAGATGGATTGCTTCAAACATCTTCAAACGAAGCACCATAAATTCAACCCAATTCGGCTAGGCTGCCTAGTTACCGTGGTGTGGCGCCGCGCACCAAGACAACGTCTCAGAAAGCCCATGCTTGCTGTCCATCACACTTGAAAAGCCTCAGCCTCAAATCTCCGGTTTTGCAAGTGTTATCTCAACTGTCTTTCAAACTCATCCCGCAGCTTTTGCTGGGTAAGCAGCTTATTAATCACGGCCGCATCGGGCAACGATCAAGTCGAGCGCATCTATCCCTGGACACCTGGCACCACAAGGCGACTTCAGCGGCTTGCCCAATCAGAGTAGTACAGTAGCTGTTGCACCATTCAGGGATTGATCAGAAGTTCCGGAACTCTAAACACTCACAGTCGACAAGGTGACGTTTGGGTTGGTTGCTGACTTCGCATGCCGTCGGCATTGGAAAGGGCAGCCGGGTGATGTTCTACTTATTGGTCGTATTGCTGCTATAATGACCACAGATAATCTCTGATCCAATGGTGGCGCGGTAAAGTTACGACAGGAACGAAGTTTGATCCAACGCTTGATGATGTCTGGCCAATGGCTTACGCCTACCACATCCTACATCTCAAGCCGGCTCGCCGGAGAGCGCAAATGATGCGATCCCACGGATGCTGCAAACGAGGGTGCCTAATCGCTTGTGTCTTTTCTTTGCGTCGCTTGTGTCTTTTTTCTTCGGTCATTTGTGTCTTGTTACTCCTTGCGAGACAGCGGTCTGGAACGAAAGCCCTTTTTTGCTAGCCGTCCACGGCTGGCAAAAAGGCTTCCAGGATTTAGGGCTTAGGTCATTAGGGTTTCGGTCTGTTTGCTCCTTTTGGAGGGCTGGGGTTGGGCTTGATCAACAAACCGCAAAGTCGTTTTGGCCCTTGTTAGTAGTATGTATGTATGTATGTATGCATGTATGTGTAGCCAAGCACTAAGTCCCCTCTGTAACAAGAGAAAACACGTTGAAGACCCTGCCAGAAACCCAAACCCCACTCTAAACCCGAAACCCTAAACTAAAACCCTAAACCAAGAATAGTAACAATAAGGATAAACCCTGTTAAGCCCTAAACTGAAAACACAAATCTCCGAAGCCTGAACCCCAAACTCAAAAAGCCAAGGAGGAATCTAAATCACAAACCCTGAACCTCAAGCAAGCAAAGACCCCATGATGGTCATTCTCTTGTAACGTGTTTAATTGTAGAACCTTAAACTGAAAACGCCAGCCTGCAATCCTCCCAAACTCTGAATCAATCCATGCCCAAAATCCAAAAATCCGCGAAGCCCTGGACACCTCACCTTTTCAATCTTTGACAAACTGCTTTCCGTCTATCTTCATGTTGGCAAAACCCATCTCATTCAACCTCTCACCTGGCATCTTCCAATCTCATGCTGAGAGTAAGTAAGGCGAAGAGGAACCTTCAGAAATGGTGCTGAGAATCGGGAATCGGGAACATTGGAAATTATAGCTGTAAGCTTTCCCGCATCTTGGACATTCTAGGCGAGGCTTCAGCAGACGAAGGCTCATAACTATCTGGGCTGCCCAAGGCTTGGGGGCCTACTTGTCATGTCGACGGCCTCACTCGACCAAGTGTTGAGCTTGCTGAGTGGAATCTGCTTTCCTCCGGAGCTCAGACCTTCAACGTGTATGGCCTCCCCTTAAGGTGCCGTTCCACACTCCTCTGTGCATCCAGAAAGGTCTCGTTCAGAGGCTCCTCGTAGAACCAGCGCCGCATGCGCCGACCACTCGGCCACATTGCCATAATCACGTTCTTCACGTAGCAGTCCACCTCGTCTAAGCGGAACAAGCCCAACTGCGAAGCCACAGACCTGTGGACGTAGATTGCGTTGCCTGCGCCGTACCATATCAAGTTATAGCCCAGTGGCCTAAGCATGTGCACCTGGTAGCTGAGTGAGCAGCCCCAGATTGTCAGATGGCCCCATGAGGCGAGCTTTGCATGCTCGTGAAGCGCGAAACGCAGTGGCGGCGGCAAGCCATCGAAGACCTCCAACACGACCAGCTTGGCGGGCACTGAGGACAAGAAGGACAAGGCAATATCGCAGTCTGCGCCATCCAAATCGACTTTCAGCACATCTAGTCGCGGACGCCAAAAAGAAGAGTTTCGGACCTTCTGGAAACTCCTGGGCAGAGCCCCGATGATCTCCGGCATGGTGTCTTTGCTTATTTGCGTGCACAGTAGCCGAACGTGTGGCAAGTTCGCCCTGTGGAGCTGGCAAATGTCAGGATCCATCTCGACCCCAACAGCAAGCATGTCCTCTCTCTGCGGGTCAAGCAGCAAAGGCGCCAAGGGGTCTTCCAAGATGCCATCTCGAGCACCCAGATTCACAAAACTTCGGAAAACACCGTTGCCACGCTCCCGCCACCTGAGAGCTAACCACGGCACTGCCGTAGTGTCTGCCATTGCTCCTGCCAAGGCCGCCTCCGTTTGCACGCACGAGCGCCCCAACCGCCGAAGGGCGCGAAAGCGTGGGCGATTTTCCAAATAATGGGTCAACTCCCAAATACCTTGCGGAATCGCCTCTGCATACTTGTGGAAGAGGCGGTGGTAGAATACAGGCTCGTTCTCGGCATCATCGTTCACTCGTGCTGGTTGCATAAGGGGTGGACTGGTGGGCAGAGAGATTGAAACCATCTTTCCCTGTTCTTTGCCTATAAAGCCCATAGCATGCATCTCCTCCTCGGGATTTGCCCCTAGGATCTGAAAGGTATCATATCCAAAAAGGCATCGCCGTCCGAGCTCAAGCGGGGCACAGGGGTCCAGTGCGTGCATCGCACCGTTGACAGAGAAGGACCTGGGAGGCAGCAGGAAACCATAGAATCCGACTGCTTCTGTGTCCCTCTGACAGCACTTCGCATCGATCTTTTCGGAGAACTCGAAATTGCAGGCACTGTCCATTGTGTCCCGGTAGCAACACCTTTGAAGTAGCTGCCCCGAAGTTGCGAAGCCCAGCAACTGGGCACACCATTCAACCATCGGGAGACCATCGCGAACAAGAGAGGGCATTACGATACTGCCCTGGCTTTTGTTTAGATCTGGGTTTCGGGTCCGCAACAACGCCCTCGCGGAAAAGCTTTTCAGAAGTTGGAGCTGTCTGATGTCACAAGGCAATTCCCTGTTGAGCCGCTGCCTTTTTTGGCTGTTGAGGCCTTGGGGATGTTGGTTGTTGCCACCAGCCATCCTAGTACGATTGAAACATTTACGCACTTGTGGATGTCACGACCGTACTATACCGTACTCTACGGCGTCTTGTCAAGCCATAAAGCAGCAACATGCCACCGTTGATTAAAGACGGTGACGATGAGGAGACGCAGGAGGTGGTGGTGCTAGTGGTGGTAGTAGTAGTAGCAGTAGTAGTAGTCGTCGTCGTCGTAGTAGTGGTAGTAGTGGTGGTAGTAGTAGTAGTAGTAGTAGTAGTAGCTAAGCGCGCCCCCAGGCGCCTGGTGTTTTCCTGCTTCTTCAGCCGTTTTACTCGGTATTTACAGTACTTTCGTGATGGCGGGGGGGGGGGGGGGGGGGGGGGGGGGGGGGGGGGGGGGGGGGG